TAGATTTTTCGTTTAGTCGGCTCAGTTTTATGCACTAGATTGTTGAAAACTAATTTGACAACTGAATGATCACATTTATGACACAACGGGGATTCAACGTCAGCTAGGTGCAACATGTTTAACCGATGCACAATCACAAGGTCTAAGCATGCTCCGGATACTGGACGCGTAGGCTTTGTGACTATTTGATAGAGATTCAAAGCATCTATGAGATTAGCTAACTTTTCTCCTTCAATAGTTGAAGGTGGTACGTTACTTTCCCCTATTACCCAATTTTGATAGTGAGCATTATAATCTCCCAAAAAAAGCATTCCGTCGAAGCTCATATTCTTAGTAATAAAAGTGATTGTGTCGTTCAAAATGCGTAAAAAGTCGGTAAAAACAGCTTGGTTTGAGTCAGGTTGATTTAACATTTTCTTCTGTTAAATGGAAAAACACTCACCGGTCACTATATGTTTGTACGTCCCTCACACTGCCACATGACTATATGTATGTACGTCTGTCACACTCACTCACTATATGTATATACGTCCGTCACACCTCTGTAACGGACAAACACACACACACAAACACTTTTACTTTTTCGTACGACCATAGACTTACAGTCAATGGAATAAAGATACGGAATGGCTATTGCCACTCTCTGAGAGTGTCAACAAGAGCTATTGCCACTCTCTGAGAGTGTCAACAAGAGCTATTGCCACTCTCTGAGAGTGTCAACAAGAGCTATTGCCACTCTCTGAGAGTGTCAACAGGAGCCGTCGTATTTTTACTTTTGGGCGTAAGTTCCAGTACACTTTATGAATTTCTTAACATTGAAGTTCTAAGATTGTTTTTCCTAAGGCACAACTAGTTATTGAAGTTGCGGAGGTCAGCATGAATCAGTGCTTGCATTGCTATTGGTTTCCGTTGTTTATCAACGTCGGCAGGACTAAGAAAACACTAACAATAAATAAAGTAGGACAATTAAGTTTTGATACATAATAAAGAATTTTGTCGTAGGAAGTGGTGCTTTATTCTGACTTCATTTTAAGTCAGAGTTCACAAAAGGGTAAGAGTGAACTAAATCTGTAACGCGCGTGGAGTGCGTCCGCATAACGTCGACTTTATTTTTATAAAAATTTTTTAGTTTTAATTCTTATTAAATAAAGATGAATCTTATGACACCCACAGAGAGTGGCAATAGCTCTTGTTGACACTCTCAGAGAGTGGCAATAGCTCTTGTTCAGCGGCGTATCCAAGGGGAGGGCAAATGGGCAATTGCCCATTTCATTTGGGGATTTGCCCATTGTAATTTTACTTAGCAGTTATACCCAGGCGGTTTCTTTTTGTATAACCCTTAGAAAGATATTTGTAAGAGTGACTTATGCAGAATTGTTTGTTTATTTTTGAATTAGAATCTAATTCAAAAATTAAAAGGATCTCATTTCATTTTTTTGTGTTCTTTTTGGACCAAAAATCTTTTGGCCCATCGACAAAAACGTTGCCCATTTTGCCCATCTTTTTTTCCGATACAATAGAAGTTTGCCCATTGTACTAAAAATCCTGGTTACGCCGCTGCTCTTGTTGACACTCTCAGAGAGTGGCAATAGCTCTTGTTGACACTCTCAGAGAGTGGCAATAGCGCTACCCATAAAGATATATGAAAACATTCTACCTAAATGTAAGTATTAAATGTGTACAAAAGATTGGTCTTTACCAATGTAAAATAAATAACGTGAATCGTATCGATTCACTAGGTCCATTGCCTGTAAGTCCACTGAGTGTATTCTCGGACTTAATATTCATTGTGTTGTAACTCGATCTTGCTACTACAGAATTGAGGCATATATGTTTCGCGATGAGAACGTGCATATTTTCCATCTTAGTTTACAGAAGCACTTGCTTTAGCTTTTCACCGGTGAGAAAAATTTATCAGAATTGCTATAGTTCATCGAGACTCTGTAATTTGATTTACTTTTACTTGTCGCACAGATGTTCGAAATCGACGTAATATTACCAAATCTATCGGTCTTCTTACCCTTGATAAAGAAATCTAAGTGGGGGCAAAGTTTGGCCTTCTTAGTCAGAACAACGCTTACACCTCCCTTCGGTCGGTGTTCGCTAGAGACTATCTACCATGCGTTATGATTATTTGTGTGACATGATGTGTCAACTTCGTAAAGTATCTTCAATCAAAACTGGGTTTCTCGAGAGTACCCAAAGAACCCCAGGGGTCAAAAGACTTTCTAAATTACAGAAAATGCTCACGCGTCCCTTCGGTCCGCGCTCGCAGCCAGGATAGGTGTTACACTTCCCTGATTCTACATGAAGCTCGAACGCAAGCACCTCTGTGCACCAATGTCATGACACTCATTAGTGATTCTGTATATGTACGTCCGTCACACTGCCACATGACTATATGTATGTACGTCCGTCACACTGCCACATGACTATATGTATGTACGTCCGTCACACTCACTGGTCACTATATGTATGTACGTCCGTCACACTGCCACATGACTATATGTATGTACGTCCGTCACACTCACTGGTCACTATATGTATGTACGTCCGTCACCGTGTGTGCTTACGTCCGTCACACCTCTGTACGGACAAACACACACACACACACAAACACACACACACACACAAACACTTTGTACTTTTTCGTATGACCATAGACTTACAGTCAATGGAATAATACACATAAAAGTAACAATTAGGAAAGCGAAGATTTTTGTATGACAGTACATCAGACAATATGAAGACATGCTGCAAAAACAGGACGATACAGCTTTGAAAGACGAGGATTATGGGAAAGACGAAGGAAGAAACATATGTATAAGAGGAAAGTAATATTACACTGAAAAGGCAGTGGCAAATGAACAAGGGAGAATAGCAAAAAGTACGGTCATGCACAGACCATAAATATTTTTTTCATAACCAAATCTACGATATCATTTGCAACGACGCCTATAAAGAGTAACAATAGCACCGCGAATACCACCAATAGTAACACCAGCAGCAGCACCAACAGCAGCACCAGCAGCAGCACCAGCAGCAGCAGTGGCAATAGCACAAGGACCTAAAATAATTCCAGCAGCACCACCAGCAACAGCACCAGCAGCAGCACCGAGACCAGCACCGGCACCAGCACGCAGAGCACCAACGGAAACAGCACCGAGACCAGCACCGATAGTAACGTGCAACTCGTTCCTTGCGATTTTACAGCATTTCTCTACTTTCTTAAAAACTCCTCTCTCATCTTCAACTTTTTTCCAAAGTTGCTGGCATTGTCCCTTTAGACCTATTTTCTTTTCTATATGAGAAGGTCGCTTGGTCCAGCATCAATTCGATGGCACTCTACAGTAGTTGTAACTGCTTCTCTCCGAAAGTCAGTTTCGAATCTCTCATAGCCAATTATCATATTGCAAATGTAACTTTTGCCCGTTCCAGAATTGCCCAAAATGATGAGGCCGTACTCTGGCTTTTTGCTTGGAACACAATTTGCTTCCATTGTCTGGAACGATCGATTTATTTGAAATCTGCAAGAAGAAGAGGAAAATAAATCAATTATAATGTTTGCAACGAGAAAACGTTAGAATGAGTTGTCGTTTCTTCGTAAATTCTGTGAAGCGTCGACGGTCACTCGGATCCACAGGTTCATTCCCTGTATGAGACTATGCATATACAAATGATCAAACGCTCGACTAACATATCATTCGATTTTATGCCAAGCTTTCTGAAAAACGTACAAAATAAAGTATATTACGAAGAAATAAGGACCTTTTTGCACTCTTTCCTTGAACGTCGTCAAGTAAAAGACAATGTTTTTAGATTCGTAGTGTCGTACTCGGATATTAACGACGAGGTTTCTGTATTACAATACTGTCAAATTTTTGATGAAAATTTCTTTTAGAAATTATCAAAATTTTTAAAAACGTCTTTTTGTACTCATGATAGTTATACTTGTATCGCATTTCATCTGAGGTTTGAACCTTCGTCTTTCTGCGCCGAAGGTCCAAACACTACCGCTTGGCTGAGTCAGTCGTCTCACTAGGTCATCTCTGTAACTCAGAGACACGCTGCCACTAGGTCACTGACCTACTTTATTTTTTATCTTTTCCTCTCCATGTATTATGATTCATGTTTAAGCATTAAATCATATGCATATATACGTACATATATATTAGACGTGGCACTTTATTTTTATTCTACTTTGGAAAGTAAAGTAAAGTAGAGTTTGTGGCTTTACTTTTTCAGGTAAAGAAAAGTAAAGTGTTTGACTTTACTTTATCCGGTAAAATAAAGTCAGCTAACTGTAATTTGGTACAAAGTTAATTTACATGATAGTTATGCTTGTATCGCATTTCATCTATATCTCTCCTTTTCCTCTCCATGTGTTATGATCCATGTTTAAGCATTAAATCATATGCATATATACGTACATATATATTAGACGTGGCTAAATTGTGTGACTTTACTTTTTCAGGTAAAGAAAAGTAAAGTTTATGACGTTACTTTTTCAGGTAAAGAAAAGTAAAGTTTATGACGTTACTTTTTCAGATAAAGAAAAGTGAAGTTTGTCACTTTACTTTATCAGGTAAAGAAAAGTAAAATGTAGAACTCTACACTGTAAAAAATAAAGTGGGTCACCAGTGAGTAAAATCGTCTCAGTAGGTAAAACGGATCCATTCAGATGGGTCACAGCACATTAGGTCTCCTAGTGGGTCAAATTCTATTGAGCTATTTTTAGTGGATACTCTTTTCTCAGTGGGTCACAAAAAAGACAAGTACGGTCTTTTCTTTTCCAAATTGTGGTAAAATAGAAAGTACTGAAACGTAGGACAAACTGTGATAAAGTTGGCGCGTATTAATTTCCTTATGGATGACATTGCAAAAAAAAAGTGGAAGGCGCATTAGTTTTCCTTTTGTGCATATTTTCATCAATACAATAAAATGCTGACTATTCAGAAATCAAGAAAATGAGGAAAATTTTATCGTGCACTGACTAGTAAAAAGGTGTAGATTGCGGAGTAGTGCATTATAAATAACCGCTTACCGACTTAAAAATCGAATAGAAAAAGGTTTCTACTTTAAAACATATTCTGCCTTCGTAGCTTGGTACTGAGAAACATTCTTTTCACTTCACAATCAAACCAAAGATCATTTATCTCCACTTTAAAAATCACTTACTCCCAGCAAAAGGGTTTTGGTGAGATTTTAATGCTGAAGACTTTTCGAATGATGCATAAACCATGATTTTCTCCATATCTTTTGCTTAAAAAGCGGCTATGCACGCATAAAAACAAAAAATTAAGTTCAAATTCGAAATCACCATGTTAAAAATCCTACACACGGTTATTTTCAGCTCAAAATAAGCAAACGAAGAAAAGCGGAAAAAGTAAGTAAAAGTGAGGTTTGAACCTTCGTCTTTCTGCGCCGAAGTCCTAAACGCTACCGCCTGACTGAGTCAGTGGTCTCACTAGGTCATCTCTGTAACTCAGAGACACACTGCCACTAGGTCACTGACCTACTGATGCAACAGTTTTCTCAGTGGGTAAAGCGGATCCATTCAGATGAGTGACTCAGTAGGTCACTGACCTACTTTATTTTTTACAGTGTACTTTTTCAGGTAAAGAAAAGTAAAGGTTGTGACTTTACTTTATCCGGTAAAGTAAATTCAGCTAACTGTAATTTAGTACAAAGTTAAAATACAGTATAGTAAAATGTTGTAGTTATTTATTATTCACTAATGAGTTCAGTGTCATGAACACACAACGTCTCAATATGTGAAAATGAGTTGTATCAAATTACGAATCATGTATTTCGAAAAGGCTTGATCGTACTTTCGCAAGTCTGATGATCAGAACTGCACGCCAAGTAATTTTCGTAAATTCGCTTCGTTCTTGTTTTCTTCAAAACTGATTTTTTTTGCACCTCGGGTCACCCTCAAGTATCAAAAAACATTTTAATCGTCACTCTATTAGAGGTCTCCATAGTTCAATAGAGCTACGTGTGCTGATTAGAAATATCATCTTATTTTTTTTAAATCCCTCAGATAATCAGAAAAATCTTAAGGACTTTCTGGAAGTTCTTCTCCATATATTTTTCTAAATAGATAAAAAGCTTTTGGTATTAAAAGAGTAAACAACTTTTTACACTCATGATGAAAAAAGTAATTCCAAAAATAATCTTTATAAAGTTTTAAAATTTTTGACGTACAAAGTTTTCAAAAGAATAATTCATTTTCTCTTCTAAAATTTGAACAAAATTAATTCCACATATTCGATTAGAAAGGAGGAGAAAACATTTCATGGGTTAGTTGTGTTTTAATCACGAGATAAATTAAGTTTTTTTTCGACAGCTAATGAGCTATACCCTAGTGAAAGTACTCATACGATGAGTACGACTTTACTCATAATTCGTCCATGAGTACTCATATTGGTACTACTAACAATTTCTGAGTATTGTTACTCAGTGAGTACTCAGTTACTCA